ACCGGAAATATGCGTCACTATAAAGTACTCAGGGTGAACAACCATAATCAGAAAGAGGGCTGGTTGCAGCGTTTATTCACCACCTGAATTCGGCATCGGTGATAGAACCGAAGGTGACTGCATTAAAGACCTTTGACAACGTAGCAATGGATTCCCTGGGAATATAGCAGGAGGCTCACGCTGAGCACCTCACATACTTCACAACGACTTTAATTGTCTGCACTCGATACACAAAAATTGCTCTCATTGTGCCAAATCAATCCTACAGCCTCATTGAACTCAAACATATGACCTTTCGGTTTGGACAGTGTTAGAACCATGTACATTGACCATAAAACATTTATGAATTGAAGGAATCTGTATAGGCTTGGTGATGAATTTTTTCAAATATGGTAAGAAGAAACAGACGCAATCGCTCGAACATGGAATTTATTCGCCTGATTTTTGGCTTCCTTCTAGAACGCATCAACAAGGGCAGTAAAACAAAGGGTTGTTAGTAAAAAGGATGTTGCTTTTTTTATAGGATACGGTACCTATGCTTCTGCATGTCGGATAATAAGTAGCTCCCCTCCTTATCGGTAATAGTGGGATGGTCGGCATGCGACCCCTGACGTGCTGAACTTTCATCACTTTTTTGGATTTTGCCGTGATTTTTGCTTGGTGAACTGGCCATCGGGAAGAATTACGAAAAGTCAGTTGACCTAAAGGCTTGTTTCGCCACTTGCGTCTACATCTTCTTTATTGCGTGACGGGAATCGCATTTTTGCTTCTATTGACAACTGAAAAAATTATTTGCCGGTTGACATTGTAATCTAATATTTCTTGATGTATCCTATCAGCCGCAATATACGCGGATATAGGAGAATGGGAATGCATTAATCTACTTTGCATATCATTGGCCTCTCACCAATAGCTTTAACTTTTACTAAAATATCACGCTATACGCTTGTTCAGAGACGCAAACGCATTTACGCGGCGTTTTTACTATTTGGACAGACTAAGTACGCATTAGCAATTGACTAATGCCCCAGCCAATATAAATAACAAAGTAAAATGTTTATTTAAATGTACACACGATCGCTGGATCAAGACTACTATTCGTCTGACGTTTCGATCCCCGTTTTCTCAATTCCTCTGACCATGGCTTCTCGTGTGGAGCCGAAAGCTCGGAATAAAAATATCGTTTTAGAGATCATGTCTTCCTTTTCTTTACAACAAGAACCTGGGCACGCATATTCGCTCTTATTTATTAATATTTACTATGACTAATGTAGAGTTATGATATTTAAATTTCTTCCATTATCAGGTAAATTAAATCAAAGTACAAGGTAATTTCCTTGAAAACTACTGTTTACATGCCGGTGCGTCATATACATTTGTACACGCATGATTATTCGTTTTCACTTTAAATTAGTATTTAAAAACTGTGAGTAGCATTGGTTTTTTCAAATAACTTTTGACCAGAATTTGTGTGGTATTACTTCTAACTCACACAGGAACGCATATAGGAGTTGTAGAGATGTCGCCTCCGTGTCTGATTGCGAGTGTCTACTACATTGCTGCATGCCCCGTCGCGTGAAGAATTAAGAGGGAGAATTTAACTAGGAGAATTCCCTGCGCAGCTTCATTGTGTGTCCACGGAGATGGGGCGACAGATGGCACAGTAACATATTCTTAAATCGCAATTCTTTCTCAAGGTTGTGTATTAACTCGATAACTAAGACGATATTTCCTCTTTGCTGCCTACAATGCAGACGTAACAATTTGTGACATTCCGGACATTTTCTGTCCTTTGCGAGATACGGACGCTACGCTTCTATGCCACATTCTAGTTTACGTCCAGAGAAGGTGCCGTCCACTTTGCCAATAGCTACAAACGCCTCTTTGATAGCATGCCGCATTCCTTTGGCTTTCATTACTTCCTTGAAACGTTGTGACGATGGCTTAAAATCACTGTGTATCGAAATACCGAGATCTTTCTGTGAAAATATCTCTGATAATTCGAGTGTTCTCCACATAATATGTCATAATGCTGTCAGTAAAATTTATTTTTTTAGTTGATGCAACAATGTTTTCTACGTCTGCTTGCCCATTGACCGCACTTCTTTGAATTGACCCGAACGATTCCTGATTCGTGCGTGTTTGGCCGCCCTTCAGGGGTTGCCTTCATCAAACTTGTAGATATGGCATAATACAGTAAAGTATTTTCTGACGGAGATTCGTCAACAGCTCTGCTTCTTGGTAATCCTGCTTGTTCACCACGGTTCTCAATATTGAATGAAAACGTTCGCGTTCCAGGTATTTAGATAAATGAGGAAGAGTGATTGTCGAGCAAAGGATCAATTAGTTTATTGTTCTGGGCTTTCGAGCTCTTGCGGGAGTCTATAAGCAGTCATTACAGCGTCCACGAAAACAAGCAACAATTATAGGGTGTAGTAGCCAATAGACCGTTATATAGGAAGAGGGGAGGTGAGGGAGGGGCGAGGAAACTCATTAATCAACAATGCGTTTAGTGTACCCTGAATACATACAAGGACAGCTTAAGCATGGGATGCGATACACTACCTCGGATTGTTCATTTAGGTTTATCCTGTCTTTATTTTTGCTACCAATTTTCGTATGGTTGCCTTGGGACGGTGTGAAATTCCGACAACTGGTGCGCTCGGTCGCTTCTGAGACATCTTTGATGTACGTCAAGGCGTGTCATATCCTCGGTGATCCATTCGCGGCTGTACGCACAGGCGTCGGCTTATGAAAGCTTTCGGAAAACCATTACGCAAAAAATGGTCGTATTGTCCTCAACACCAACGAGACGGGTCATGAATTTAACTTCGCAGCTGCGAAAATAACCGCTCACACCGGCAGCAAGACAGGCCGACAATTGATTGAAGATTGGGCCTCGGATGATGGCTCAGTTAATCGATCTATCGATCAGGCGCTGGCATACATTGCCCTCCCTAGGCGTATTCGCACGGTCGACCTTGGTGTTTAAGGAGCTTCCTTCCGCCTTTACTCATCTCCCCCATACAAGGGTCGACTTACTCCTACCCCCTATAATTATGAGTTGTTTATCGTGGCCGCTCTTATCTTTGACGATGGACTCCGTTAGACGTAACCTGAACTGTGACAAACAAACGTAGAGTCCATATCTCGCAAACGACAGAACATGTCTGAAACAAGCGCAGTTACGTGCGAATAAGCTAATAAGAGCTCTCAAGAACCACTATTACACAGAAAGACTGGAATGTTTAAATTTATAACCTATGCATTGCAGGCAGCAAGAAGGGAATATAATTTTTGTTTATGAACAAATGCATGGCTTTCAGAAATAATTGCGCTTTGAGAATATGTTCCAGTGGCATCTTTCACCTCATCTCCGTGGACACACAATGAAGCTGCGCAGGGAAATCTCTAAGCTTAATTTCATCCCTTAATTATTCACGAGACAGGCAATAAAAAAATGGAATAGACACTTGCAATCAGTCGTGCAGTTGAAATCTCCACAACTCTTGTATGTGTCCCCTGTGCGAGCTCAAAGTTATATAACAAAACTTCCGTAAAACGTTATTTACAAAAACAATGTTAAACACAGTTTGTAAATAGTATTTGAATTGAAAACATTTAATTATCTTTGACAAAATTGTATGACGCACCGGCACTTACACAGTATAGTTTCCAAAGACATTGCCTAGTACTTTAATCCAGTTTACCTGAAAATGAAGGAAATTTAAATTAAATAATTCGATATAAGTCATAATAAATTATAACGTTTGTTTGGATAGAAAAAGCGAAACTGAAAAGAATGCTGTCATTTTCAGCAAATTCTCTCAGCCAAGACAGGTTTATAATCGTGACAGTATGGACCGGTAACTGCTCTCTGATGGAAACAGTAAGTTTTGACTTTAGTATGGCAGAGAGGCAGACTAAGGTCACAGTGAACAAGATCACAGATCATCTGAATTTGAATTTCTCTAGTGCTGCGTACGTTGGGCCAAAAATGCATTTCCGGTGTCTATTTCTGTCTTCCATTCTGTGAATAGCAAGTACGTGTTTGTTTAATGTCCATTTGAATTATCTGCACTTATCACTCGATTTGGT